ARYWGYWSTWMYKTTWTTRRYATTTGCTATTTGTTTTGACTTCAGATCTGATAACCGATCCTGTGATTTCAACATTTCCYTCGTCRTTACGATTCACAGATATAATGGACGCACTTAAGGTAACTGGCGAACTAAATTGAAAAACTGAAAACGGAAAAAATKGAAATGGTGGGATTCATAAACCGTAGCCTACATGTAGGTGCATTGGCGGCTTCGGAGGGGGAAGCTGGGAAAGGACAGAAAAGGGCAATGAAAACTGAAAAAAAAAAACTATGGAAACTACTTCCTTCATCTTATGTGATCCTAACTGATTTTCTTTTCTATTTTAGAGGCGTTGGGAAAATCGCAATAAAAAGGAATTAAAGCGCTCTCAACGAGTAAGTTTACTATCGTTTATTATAGAGAAGTTGTCAAACTCCTCAATATAATACTGATAGCGACGTGTTCGAGGGAGTTGTCTATTATACTAAGGCTAACGTCCATTTGCACTCGAGAGCCTTTGCGGTCGTCTGTTTATAGTGCTACAAAGCAGCTCAAACGTGGCTTGTTGCTTATACAATTCTTGTTTCTTATACAATTCTTGTTTCTTGTATACAATTCTTGTTTCTCATACAATTCTTGTTGCTTATACAATTCTCACTGCTTGTACAATTTTTTTTGTTTATACAATTCTTGCAATTGCTTATACAATTCTTGTTGCTTTTTTGAATGCAGCGAGTAACTTCAGTAATGAAGAACTTTTTTCGTGAGGTGTACATGGACAGTGTCTACCCTCTGCTAAACTCAGCCCAGCTTCCACCGTTCATATGGGGAGATACTAATAGGGAAACGGTAAGATTAAGTGCCGCCTTGTGTAGTCTCGTAAATGCTGAGTAGTACTTGATGTTGGTAATAGTTTTGGTTTTGCTCATTGGGAATCAAAAATAGCTATATTGGTATTTTCTTAGTCGCAAAAGATACCAGGAAAAATGCAAAAATACACTCAGAAAGAGCGCATTCATTCCACAATTTGTAAGTTTTCTACTTTCATAAGACTCCTGTTATCACTGCGTTTTCAATATAAAATTGAAGACATCAAATGCCTGGAGTTCCCTATTTTTAAAAAAGGGATATTTGTTCCAAATTAGTTGTTTTTTTATTATGCATAACGGTTTGCGATTGAATATTCCATTCTATACACCCAATAACAAATAGTGTTCGATCTTTTCAAAGTTACATTAAAAAATATTAAGTATTTTGTTTGTTTGGTAGGAACGCTTACGAATCATCCTGGACTACGAAGCCCGCTCTACACTAGAAAACCTATTCTCAACAGAAAGACTTCACAAACCATTTAACATCGATAGAGTAACATTTAATGTCGTATCAAAGCATTCAATAACTTGATAACGAACTAAATGGAGTCGAAAATAAATATCCTGATCACCAGCCATATGGAATGCTCAGATATGTTCGAATTTATTTTCAATGCTTCTTGGTATTATTTGTAAACACTGTAAAAATCTTTTCTTTGTATATATATTTATTTCATTCTTGTACAATTTCTATATTTATTAAACAGTCACAATTTTAGATTAATTCGTTTCGTATCCTTTTTGCATTGTTCTCATTAGAGCTGACATTACAGACTTTATAAGATATATTGGATCGTGTTGGTGAACGGGCATCGGCTAAACTACCTATTAAATCCGAGAAACGGCCAGGTTACTTGGTAGACAAATGATGAAATTGCATTGGGAAACCATGCGCGTATTTTGTATAAACGTCTAGAGTAACATGCTAATTTACCCGTAGACAAAACGGAAGTCCGTCTATTGCCCTGAAAATCGGCCCAAACGTCGTCAGATTTTTAACTCGCGATGTCGGTGGCTCCAAGCTCCTGTGTTTCTGTATGGAAGAAGGCATTAGAGCATTAGATTTTGTATGAGTGGGACACCGTTATATTACCGCACGGTTACCGCACAGTTACCGGACCTGGCCTGCACAATTTTTGTGAACCAATGGGGCACTAGAATTTGGTTACAGTACGATTACGGTCACAGTACAGTACCGTCCGTTTCCCACTCATACGAAATCCGCTCTATTAATAACGCGTTCTTCACTGTCACGGTCTTGGTTCAACAGTATAATTGTATGCCTAAAATACCAAACTCTTCACGCCATTGTTTCTAAATATTCTGGATCCGCCCCTCGTTCCCAGTCGATTGAAAGCTGTAGGCAACGTGTACCAAAACCATCAGTGTAGTATATTTCCACTATAGAGTGCACATGTATTTGATGCATACAAAATATATTTTCTTAGATGAGTTTTCTGTCCTCGCCGTATTGGTCTTTAGACGAAATATTGTTTTCCTCAAGTTCGGGAATCGTTGGTCAACTTCGTCGGAAATACCATATGACGTCATTTTCGGATGTCGTTCTGGTTCTGGCGAAATAGAGCAGATTTCGTATGACGACAAATTCACGGATCACAACACGGACACGGCACGGTCACGGATTTCAAATGAAAGTAAAGATTTTCCAATGCATCACGGCTATGGCACGGTACGAACACAGCACGAACGTACCGTGTTTTTTGCATGCACAGTCATACGAAATCCGCTCTAAACTCTACCACTCTTCATGGGCTATGATTTCTATTGTGTTTTGCCTTATGAATATTAATTAGTATTATAACTAAGTATAAAGTATGTCGTACTCACAATATTTGTATTTTATCTTACATTCCTAGTTTGAAATATCTAGTAAAACAGGATAAACAAAGGCATATCAAAAATGGCGTAAATCTTCTGATTCGAAATATTTCAAACCAGGAAGGTAAGAGACGTTTTATTTACATTATAATAATATTTCTTTTTCCTAAATAACCAAGTATGTCGTAATCACACACTTTATTTTACACTTTAATAGTTATTGAGGCTGGGCCACCATATACCTGTGTTGAAGCGTGACCGCATAAAAAGCCAAATTAGAAAGTGCGAAATCAGCTTTAAATCCTGATGTTCAATGATATTGTGTATTGTGTCCTGAAGCATGTAAACTGATAGAGTCTAACCAATCAGCACGTTGAGTCTACACCTGGGTTTTCCAACAGAATGTAGTATACGCAATTTATCTCTGGAGAAAGCGGCAAAACATGAAGCCGGTGCCCGAAGAAAACATCGATGTTTCTCATGATTGTCAGTGCGCTCAATGTGCGAGAGAACACGGGTTAGTATTTTTTTCACAAACTGTTATACAATTTATAAATATGTCAAAATCATCTTGCTCGGATACTAAGTTTTCAAATAATTTTGGATTTAATGTAATTCCAAGTTCTTTACCCAAACGCGGTTAGTATTTCTGATTTCTTCGCACTTTTACAGCCTTATGCACAAATTATGAGACATTTTTATATATATAAATATACCTAACCAAATATCAAAAACACCACAGAAATTATGGTATATCTCTATTATATTTTGTCATGATTGCCTAGCATCAGGTTGTTACAGACAAAATATCAGCGACGGTATCCCATAATTTCTTGGGTGTTTTTGATATTTGGTTAGGTATATTTATATATATAAAAATGTCTCATAATTTGTGCAAAAGGCTGTATAAATTCTATATAATTATAAATATATATTAAAACTTTGACTCATATTTTACCTTAACACAAACAGGCCACTTATCTTTTTTTCTGTACTAATTTTATTTCCAAAAGATAAGAAATACCATTTATAATGATAAACTTTTAAGACTTATGATTCTTACGCGTCGCTGTTCATTTTATGCTGTTAGTCACGTGGTGCGCTCTTTTTGCACTTGGTTGACAGCAGCTTTGGTTGACAGCTTTGGTTGACTTGGATAAGATACATACTAATAAGGGGAATCCCCTAGTAATTACAATAAGTCACTGTCTTCATTTTACTTGTACTTGCTACGATCTTGTATTTTAACTCTCTATACGTTTTTCCCCTCACATATGAACACTGTAATCACACCAAAAAATCATGTCTCTTAATCAGAGAAACTATACAGCGAATACTACTGTGGCCTGAGCGGACACTTTTGAAATAAACCGTCTCTAATGGCAAAGAAGATGAATTGCTATCGCAAAGAAACAACATGTCGCAAAAAAAAACACGTCTTCATACGGAACCTCACAGCGTGTTGCTATTTTATTGCTGCGTCTAGTCATGAAGGTTGTTAGGTTTGTTTGATTTTAGAGGCTTTAAATGTGAGTAATTATTCACTGTTGACAGCAATTTGATGAACCTTTTTCAATAGTTGAATTTGTAAAGAATGTTTTGTAAGATCTAGCCACAAGTATGTACACACTTAATTAGAGAGTTTAAGCATAACGTTTACGGCAAACGGCAGAGCTGAGCCAATGACCTAAGAATTTCGTGCCTGACCTTGTAATTTAGGTAGTCATTGGATAGAGCGACTGTTCACGATTATGGCAAACCCAAAGTTACCTAGTCTGGCGTTGAAACTGTAACGGTAAAACCTAAAAAAGCAGGTCACGTGATCTTTTCTGTTGCTTGCAGTATACCGTGAATGTCATACTTAACCTCTCTAATGACAACTCCAAAACCGAACGTCCTACTGATACTATTCCCTATGCAAACGTCTCTCAGTTCAAACATACCAATACAGCAGAGTCACAAAGTGAGAAGTTTCCCTAAAAGTATTTCACTGGTTATCAAAAGTAGCTAAAAGTGAACACTTTATATTGCGCTTATATTGCGCTTTATATTGAGTTTTTCTCTTTCGGATAAAACAGGTTCCTAGGAATTTCTATTTGTACTTATTTGTAGAAGAGCTTAACACACAAAGATCATATCAACTATAATCAAGCCGCCAATGGCGACACAACTCGAAGATTTTCAGGCAATAAATCTGGACATAAGTCTGTGTAAAGCCTCTTACGAAGGATAAAGTTTATATGAATCGATGAGCATTAAATCACTAATCGACGTGGATCGGAATAATCCTTGAAATCATCGTAATAGCAATGCTGTATCTATGAGCCGTATTCACACAATATCTCCTAAAACGACTTCTGAAATCAACAGATTCTTATACAAGAACTTCCAGACCTCAAAAATCACATTTTGTGTGTTTAAAAAGCCATTATCACTGGAAAAAATCGTGCGTTTGAACCCTGTAAATATGATGTGAAATCTATGTAAATATACCGTAAATAAAATTTACAGAATTATGGACACATACATGTTATTTACATCAAATGTACAGGGATTGTACAAAGTTTGTAAAAAGTATGTAAATTTTATTTACGGGAAATTTACAGAGTTTTTACAAGAAAGATACAGTAAATTTACGGAGTTTTTACAGACTATGTAAATATACTGGAAATGCAGATACCGGATATTTACGGCAAATTTACACGTTTTTTACARACTCTGTATATTTACTGTATATATTTACAGCAAATTTACAGAGTTTTTACACTATATTTTCAGAATATTTACAGATGATGTAAATAAGCTGTAAATGGAGGGATTTCAATTGACACGGTTTTTACATACTTGGATTTGATTGGTCTATTCGAAAACAGGGTAAACCCACTGGGAATATAGGGAAAACCCAATGGAAAAGAGCAAATAATGACAACAAAAGTGTTTCTTTTTTATCAAAATACTGCACAAAGTGAAAATTAAAAGAGAAAAGCATATTTTGCACAAGATAATGCCAAATATACCATTCACTTTTAACTAACACTCTGAACAATACTTGACAAAAAATCACTTTTATTTTCACTACCTTTTCTTTCCTAAGGGTTTTACCTATAGACTTATTAATTTTGTATCTCTGAATTTCTATCAATTCCCTCCCAAAACGGCAAAGATAGCCAATAGAATAAATGAAATAATAATATTCATGCCTTTTATTCATAAAATATCACATGACAATATTGTGAAGTAAATTTCATCAAACTCATTGACAATTGATCATGACTTATAGCAGTATGGACTGTATGCATTGTTTGTTTGTCTTGGAACTTCTATTACAATGCAGTTGCTGTTTTTTTCAATACTTGAATTTAACAATGAAATTGACGTCAAAATGCTCAAAACTCACAGCAAAGTTTTGAGCATTTTTGACGTCAATTTCATTGTCAATAAGAGTACAGACAATGGAAAACCGCCTGCGAATTGTTTTTTACCATAAAAAAGATGAAAACAAAGTAAAACTTTAAAAACAAAACCGTTTCTAGTGCGCGCCTGCTCTGTGCGCGAGCGATTCTTCATTTCATCCGTCTGTCCTAGGATTGACAACGGCTCTCGACCAATCAGCGCGCGAGAATTCTAAAAGTTATGGTAAAAACTTTGGTCTGAAATAAATCTTGAATACTTTGATCTGAAATAAAAAAAACAACCATGAGTGGAAGACAAAAGGACATAATATGCAACAAAAAGGAGGATAGAAACATGGTGACAATAACTAACATGTTATTCAGTTAAAGTTATCTAGTACTCCTTATGTTTTTTAAAGGGATTTTATCTACTGGATGAGGAATTATTGATAGTAACATATTCTTATCTAATTGATAAGCATGGTTGAAATGTCTACTTGATATGAATTATAGCTCAATACACTTACAAGCACTTACATTGTTTTCAAGCTAAAGGTTTATATCTTGATAGGCCCTAGAATAAAATTATCACCAAATTAGTTATGGTAAAACCCAGTCATCCTTGTCTTTATTTATTATTATAAAATTTTTGATATATAAGGTGCTCTGATTGGCTAATGACCATGTTTATATCAGAGGACAGAGACACGACTTACCGGCAAAATTTTCTTTTTGCTCGAAAAAATTTTTAAAAGAAATATAAAACGGCCGCTTGTGTCTCTGTCCTCTGATATAAACACTCGATAAACACTCGAGAAGCCCGTGTTCCTAAGCTTGCTTCTTTCGTATTTTTCGAACTCCCACCGTGTTTATATCAGAGGACAGAGACACGCGCGCCGTTTTATATTTCTAAATACAACATCTACAACATCGTCATCAGTCTTGGCTTACACATTACAAATGTAAAGGCCCAAGACATGCCATCTGCAGTCATCTATCAGAAAGCACGCAGGGCCAGTTGTTCAAAGCCCGATTAGCATTAATCCAGGGTTAACTCCATAGGTTTTCTAAGAATTAAACCACGATTAGCGCTAATAGGGCTTTGAACAACCCGGCCTAGAAGTGTAAAACACTTATTATCAGTCAATTTGAGCACACATGATATCGCAAAATTTATGATTAGGTATAAATAGCTTACCAGTTGCCTTGGCAAATTTCTGTTGGTATTATTCTAAATCATAATAGAAAGTCCATTAATAGTATATCATATGTACTTTTTGTTCAATTATCAACAAATATCAACTTACTTGATGAGTAGGTCTTGCAATGTTCCTTTGATTCTAAAAGAAAACAAAAATAAAGTATGAACACCCCAATGTAATTAACTAATATGTTATTCAGTTAAAATACAGTAAAATGAGTATTAAGTAATATGTCATACTTGCAGAGGAATATTGCCCCCATTATGGATTACAGCTGGCCTGGTCTAAACAAATTAAAATATTTATATTTAATTTATTTACTAATTGTATTGTTACGAAATATTGTTATTTTTTCAATTTTACATGGAAATGAATGAGATTACTGGAAGGTAATTGATATATTGTTACCTGATAAGCACTTGGCTTCTTTTGTTGTGAAATCATTTCACTGATTTTTTTCCTGGCCAGACTGCGGTCCATGATGAGGGCCTTGTCTTGTGTCACAGGGTAGACACCATACAGGCGCTCTAGGCTAATTCCCTTTATGAGTTCTTGGATGATCTTGTTGTTATTAAGCGCCTGTGATGGTGTCGTCCCGTGACACTTTTTCATGCCTCCAGATCCCTCTAGCTATTGAGAAAAAGGAATGGCAATAATATACACTTGGTCTAGGAGAAATATAAATTTGAACACAAATTTCTTAATGTACCCTAGCTGTTCGAAGATCTCCACTGATAGTACTATTAAGGAGGTTGAGGGCTTTATTGGCCAGTGATGCTTTTGTGTTACCCTTTCTTATTTCACTTAGTAATTCTTGTTTGGTTATGGGTTCTGAAAAAAATAACAAGTGTGATGATCGAATATTTCAATAGAAGGCAATCCCCATGTAAAACTATCTATAGCCTTTATTTTGTAAGAAAAACTATACTTTTCATTTCTTATTGAGACCTTATAAATTGTGATTTTTAATAAAATACATCATGACTGCAAGAAATTGAAATACTTACGGAAATGCATTCTTTGGTTTACTTCTTGCCCTGAAGTAATGCCATTATCATCAATATTAGTATATTGCATGAATAATTAACAAGAATGGTACATGGCAAGATATGAGCCAATCTAAATTTGATGAGCATATAAAACTAGTAGAATAATTCAGCTGTAAAAGATACATTTTGCTAATTAGATCTTTTAACAATGAATGTACTTTCATAAAACCAACAAGTGTGAGCATATTTATACTTACATGTACACTGGTGCACGGGTGTTACACTTGTATTAATTTGTTGGTCTGTGAAATATTAACAAGCGGCGTCACCAATAATATTATATGATAATATACGTATTCTATCATCAAGTATTCTGCACTCAATACTTACCTGTCACTGTAGAGCTGGATAATGGCTGTTGATCTGTAACGAGACAATGATATGGAGATAAAAACAAGAAAAGAAATATATTTACATATTATATGTCAAAGTTACATCGTATGCAGTCACTACTTACTGGTCACTGCAGTGCTGGACAATGAGCTTTGAGCTGTTAAGACAATGAGATGGAGATATGATCAACAAACTGTCTATATACTATATAATATAGTAAATGGACATATTAATGTATTAATCAACAGTAAATTGCATGCAGTCACTTCATACTGGTCAATGTAGAGCTGGATAATGAGCTTTGATCTGTTAAGACAATGAGATGGTGGTAAAAAACAATAAAAGAAATATATGTACATATTATATATGTCAAAGTTAAATCGTATGCAGTCACTACTTACTGGTCACTGCAGTGCTGGACAATGAGCTTTGATCTGTTAAGACAATGAGATGGAGATATGATCAACAAACTCAGTCTACATGGAGATATGACCAGCAACATAATGTACTCACTGGTGAATCCCTGTCTGAATGACAGGCCTTGGTCTGCAGGTAAGACATTGAGAT